GGGACTTTGACTCTATAGAGATAGATCAAAAGGATAATAGGATTATCCAATATACTTACATTGACAAGACTGTCAAAATATACAACAGGGAGAACCCAAAGAAGGGATTTGTCCCTTTCAGACACGGAGTCACTCTCTCCAAGGGTATGTCTCCCAAGACTCCCGAGAAAATTAAGGGCATAACAGAGGTTTCCTATGCCTCAGTCGTAGGGAGCATCATGTATGCCATGTTGTACACTCGGCCAGATATTGCTCAGGTTGTGAATGTGGTAAGTGAATATCAATCAAACCCAGAACAGGAGCACTGGACAGATGTGAAGAACATACTTAAATACCTTCGAAAGACAAAAGATTTTGTCTAGTATTCGATGGTAGTTCACTACAGATCCTAGGGTATATCGATGCCGACTTCCAGTCATACCCAGATGATAGAAAGTCTACATTTGGTTACATATTTATGATGAGGTCCTGTGCAGTTAGTTGGAAAAGCAGCAAACAAGGGTCCACAATAGATTCCACGACCGAGACCAAATACATTGCCGCAAGTGAAACTACCAAGGAAGTAGTATGGATGAAGAAGTTCATTCAAGGATTAGGAGTAGTTCGATCCAGCACATCACCCATTCCACTATTGTGTGACAACACTAGAGCCTTTGCTCATGCTAAGGAGCCCCGAGCCCACTCAAAGTCAAAGCATATCGAGAGGAAGTACCATGTACTACGGGAGATTATTGGTAGAGGAGACGTCCAAATTCAGAAGGTAGCATCAGTGGAGAATGTGACAGGCCCATTGACAAAGCCACTATCACAGAAAGTGTTTGAGAAACACGTGGACAATATGGTACTCCAGCTTGTACCCGATTGGACCTAAGTGCAAGTGGGAGTTGTTAGACAGTGTATGCCCTTAGCTCAATCAGATTGATGTACATTAAACATTTATTGTAAATGAATAAAAGTATATAATTGATTCATGTTATACATGGTATGTTTTTGTGTAATTACCCTTAAACTAGACATTTATGAGACTTGTGTTAGTTTAGAATGTTTTTAGCCGTTGGATAGACTTGGGGAAGTTTATCCTGCCAAGGCTGTCACTAATGTGTTACCAAGTTGGTTGGGGTGGCTTGTCTTAACTGACAGGATGAGACCTAAAGCACATGTAGTGTGTGTTTGTTTGAAACACTGAACCCAGACCATTTTCCAATTATGCCTTGGACCTTTGAGACTGATGGGCAAAACTGGAAAGTTACACCTAACCCCTAAACTCGATTATGGTATTGCATTGAGTGTCGGATTAGGTTGTCTTTGATATGTCAATTAGTGAGATCCTTAGAGGGGATCAAAACTTGGGCATGTTGGGGAAATCATAGAATTCACTTGAGTGGGTGATCATAGTGACAAGATCAGCCCTTTTGTCAAACAAAGTGAATGATCGGGGGGACTACACTCTCTTTGATGGAAACCAAAACTGTCGGTAGTCGATTTTAATCGTGTTTGAGATTTGTTTTTGCAAAATATATTTATATGAATATATATAAATTCCTGCGATCTATCCGAGTAGAGAGTGTAAAACTATACTTTGCAGTCGAGGGAGAGGTCCTTTTTTGTCGGGCAGTGTTTGATTATTAAGGGCTGAGAAGTTAAGTGTAAGACCATTTAAGGCTTTTATACCTGATGGGCTATATCTCACTTAAGACCATAGTCTTTGGGCCTTCATAAGATGGTTGGAAACTCAATGACCATTTAGTGTAAATATTGAGCCCATTAAGAGCCCATACTGATAGAATCAGTGGTTCACTGTGTTTAATAGTGCATTTGGCCAAGACTTGTAAGAGGCTAAGCTGAACCCATATGAATTTTGTGAGGTCAATGTTAAGGTCACATGCCATACAAAGAGAGCCAAGTTAGATAGCAATTAAAAGGGGAAGTGAATCTACTAGCTTAATGGGCCAAAGGCTCATAATTAACTGGATTAATTAACAATAGGATAAGATGATAACTCTTATTGGATTAGGAGAAGCTAATCTTTAAGGCTTATAAATAGAGGGGGCGAATTGCTTCAGTCTTCACCTTTTATGCTCTCAGTTCTCTCCCTCTGTTCTTGTCACCCAAACCCTAATTCAATCCTCAGTTTCTTGGACTGATAGAGATCAGTTCCTACCTCTGATTTTGCAAAAAAATCATATCAGATTTTGTGCCCATACTCCCTTGCTTGATCTAAGCCGTTGGATTGCAGTTCTTGCTGAAAGACTGCATTGCTAAACCTGCTTCATCTCAAGTTGCGCCTTGTTCGGTGGAAGAGGGTTTTGGTACCCTCTTCGAGCGTGAACACCTATGTTGGGAGCTACACATGTGGATTCCATATTAGGTATTGCTCTTCCTCTCTTTTTGAAATTTCGCCCATCCACCCTGCATGGTTTAGCCATCCATATGATGGATCTCCCTTCCTTTCAACAATGACAAATTTGGTGTTTCTTGGAGCTATAGCTTATTGCTGCCAACAGGGCAGTGATGTGGCAGTGGATAATGGGTAGAAGTGCAGAAAACGTTTCCTGGAGCATTGGTACCAAACAGAAAAAGTTGCTATTACTCCAAGAAATGTCTTACCTGACAACAGAAAACAATGTTGCAACTGCATCATCGATGCCAAACATATACCTAAGGAGCTAACTAAGGAATTGGATAATGTGAGGAACAAAACAAAACAATAGGTACTTTGCTCTCACAAACTGGGATACAATAATATACCGACAAGAAGCTTGGGGTTGGGAATAAAAAAATTAAACAAAATAAACCAAACTAATCTAATGAAGCTATGATGGAAAGTCATAATGGTTTGTAACAACCTTTGGGTGCAAGTGGTAACCAAGAATTACTTGAGAAATGAAGAATTCCTAAATCATAAACCCCCAAAAGCAAATTTTGAGAGGATAATTGGGTCGAGGACAATCTCTAAAAGAAATTTGTGCTGAAAGGGCTCAGGTTCAAGTTAACTCAGACTTAAAAGTGGGAGACTTTATAGATAGGAACAACAATAGCTTAGACCTTGAAAAATTAAAAGCAACAGTTCATGGGGATTGTGTAACAAAGATAACGACAATTCATATCCCACTCAAGAACGGAGATGATGTGAAAGTATGGGGATCATGCCCAAGTGGTAAGATCTTTGTGAAGTCGGCCTATAATTTGTTGGGACACAATATTAACTCGAATGCTAAAATGATTAAGCTAATAAAGAGTTTCTCTATATCCTGTGTTGAAAAAATAAAAATATTCCTTTGGCTCCTAAGATTCCAACCAAGAAAATGTTGGTAGGAAGAGGGCTATCCATTGAGAAAAGCTGTCCTTTCTGTGACCAGGTGGAAGATAGAGACATATAGACAAATGCCAAGTAGAAGATCAAGTTTGGAGCCTAATCTATCAAACTAATGAAATCCTCATGAAGGAGGCTAACTGGAACCTAAATGATTTGGTGGAGCAAGATTTTGGAGTCAAACTGGTACAAGTCCAGGCTCTGGATTCTAGAAAGGGTAATGACCTTGTTCTGGTTCCTGTGGAAGAACAAGAATAATAAAATATTCAAAAATGAATCTCTCCCTTCCCAAGAGATAGTCTTGAGAGGAGATCGAATCTGCTCTTTACACCTGGCACCTTACAGGTGCTGTCACACACATCCTATCATGCATTGAGAACATTTTCCGTACTTATTAGTTATTATTCACCGGAAATGTTTCTAATGCATAGAGGATGTGCCTTGTGAGGTGTCCATTTGTGAGGAACAGATCCGGCTCACCTTRAAAGCTAGTTTTTAAATCACTTATCAATTCTTGGAGGCCCCACCAATAGAGAATATTCCATTGTGAATTCATTGGCATCCCTTGGTTCTTTTCTTTTTATTTCCCCAATGTATCAAAAAAAAAAAGTCTGTCCCATCTTCTTTGGACTCCTAGGATCTGCAAGTAGAAAGAATATAATGAATTAAGCACTACCCATTCAACACAGTAAACAATGTTGTATCTAAACAAAAGATGAGACAAATAACGAGTGAACATGCAGGCCCATCTGTATTGAACATTAGTGTGTTTACTCGTTATAGATAGCCAAATCCGTTGTACATGATTTTGTGTCCACCTAATCCACTCCCTCTTGAAACACTATTATGATCAAATGGTGAGGTTGTAGTCATAGTAGGTCCGTAGTTGAGATGGAGAAGTCTTCTTTTCTCTGTTACTATTTCCTTGAGAGTCTAGAAAGCATTAAGAATGGAGAATTAGGAATTTGTATTTTGTGATATTTTGAAAAGAAAAAAATAAAGTAAATTTATCAAAATCTAACGGAGAGTAATAGTAATGGAGAGAAATCTATGGGTGTTATAATAGGGAAAGCCTGCAACATGTCTCTATACGTTTGCATGGAGAGAACATGATGGACCAAAAATGGAAAGAATCTCATAGGTAATCTATTAAGCTCAGTTTGGAAGAGTACAAATACAAATATTATATATTTTATATATTTACATTATACATATTTATACTCATCTCAAATTAAGCCTTAGGCTCCTAAAATATTGAACTAGTTTTCACATGAATTAAAATAAATGGGTGGGGATTTTGAGGGAAATTTTAGCTGCCCAGCCATGTGGTTTAACGGTAGGTATTGAATGGTGGGAATGAGAGAGAGAGTTAAGGAGAATAAAAGAAGTGGGGTTTGGAAAAAGAAGAGGTCATGTGACATGAACAACCTTATTTTATATATATAGTATAGATATATATAAATAGCCACATGTATGCTGTTAGCACTTTTTCTGGGAGTGGAGTTGACTGTTCTCACTTTTCTTGGCTTTTATGCGAGGTACTCTTACATCAAAAATAGGTTGCCATTTGTCTAAATTGCATTAACCGTTATTAGAGGCTGTTTTTTAACATAATTTAATTTATACATCAAAATATCACATATATCGTCGAAAATATAAAATAAAAATAAAACAAAAAAAGAAAAAAAGAGTAGCTGGAAAGAAGAAGAACGAAGAAAAATAAAGGACAAAACAACCGAACACCAAAATTCAGATCTTTCTGCTCTAAAATCCTTGATCCATTTCGATCGATCACTTCAATTGTTCGATCTGTTGTTTTACGACTCCTATTAATTTAATTAACTGTATACATTTGGATTTTTTAGGTGAAGAAATTAAGAAAATATTTTTGAAGTTTGAAAACCTTGTGGATCGTGGTGAAAGGCCAGGATCTGAGGGGTTTTCTTCAAGTATTGATGGATCGTTGGAGGAGTAACTTCTTCAGATGACAACTTCGCACGTTTCAGTCATCTCGGAAAACAATGAAATGGGTTACATTGCTTAAGGACTTCAAAGAGAAGGTCGGGCTATCTCAACATTCTTCCACATCTTCGTCTCCATCCGCTGTCGCCGGTAGAGAAGCTGTATCGTTGGCGAAACATGATCTCGCTGCATCGTCGTCGTCCTCTTCCTCCTTGTCCTCTCATTCAAGGTTCTATCTTTTTTTGGTATTTTGTCTTTCATCTCAATCTCTGTAGAGAATAGAGACTTTAGTTTTCTTAACCAAAATTCACATTTTTCAGTGCATTGTTCCTCAGAGAATCTAAGCAATGGGAAGGTCGGTCTACGGGTCAGACTGACCATTGACATATTATCTCACCAGCGTTGAAATAAAAAATGCAACTATGTCTTTTGTATTTAGATTCCGCAGTAAAAGAAATAATGATCGGAGATTTCAAGTCTCCCAAGTTTAACTTGAAAGAAATAATGGCGGTTTATTAGTTTGAGAAGAGAATAAAATCGAAGGTAATTATAAAAAAAAAAAGAAAAAAATCAAAGATAGGATGCAGTTCTTAAGGGCTACAGTTGCGATGTTGAAGTAAATTGACCCTTACTTTCTTTATTAGAATAGGGTTCTTTGGAACTTACTAAAGTACAGAAGTGGTTTCTGGAAAGTCATTGCAAATATGTCTTTATAACTTGTGATACTCCTTCCTTGAATTACAGATAGTAATTTGAGGACAAAATCAGGATGGATTGGAAACCCCCAGAAGGAAACAAAGTAAAACTGAATTTTGGTGGGAGCTCTCTTGGAAACCCGGGTGTGGCTGGRATGGGGGGTTATTAGAAAATCAGAGAGGAGGATATTGACTATCTTCTCAGGACCAATTGGCTTTGGAAATTCTTTGAAGGCCGACGTGATGGCTTTATTGCAAGGCCTCAGATTAGCTACACAGTTGGGATTTAGGATGATTAAGGTGGAAGGAGATTCATAAGCAGTCATATCCTAGGCTAAATCCAATAGGAGTATTCCTTGGTCCCTAAAGTATACTCTAAGGGAAGTGGAAACAATTGCAGAAGAAATAGTGGCTGAATTTAAATGGGTTAGAAGGAGGGCAAATGGTTTAGCTGACACCTTAGCTAAACAAGGGGCTATGAGGCAAGGACTGTGTTGGGCATCATTCTAATCTGGAATAGTAAAGTGGGCTAAAAAGTTGTACTTATCATTTCTTCTTTCCAAATTTTAATAAAATCATTTTTCTACTGATAACAAAAAAGAAAAAAAAAGTAGATAGTAATTTGAGGATTTTTAATCAATAAGTAGTTTCTTGAAATCAATTACAAAGAACAGAAAGAAAATATAATATGTGAATAAATCTATTCAAAGAAACATGACATATATGAGTGTGTCAAATATAGATTCAATTTTTTTTTTTGTACTTACAACACAAAGGATTAATAATTTTGAATGCTTGAACTTATTGAAGTGAACTAGATAGATCTTTTTCGGCTTCTCATAATCTGCATAGGCCCTTTACAAGTTCCTATAAATCCTGTTAATTTTTGGTATACAAATTACATTATTTAATTGAACAAGTAGTACTTATGTTACAAATATTTGATACTTCTATCTATTTGCTTCTTTGGCCTTTCTCTTCCTTCTGTCAGTTAATGTTTACACTGTCATTTTTTTCTTACTTTGTAAGTCAGGAGCAAGATCAAAATGGTCTTGGTTTGTCACATTTGACTCATTGATTCTTCTACAACATGTAAACCCATGCTTTCCTTCAGTTTCCTGCCCTGAAACTGATGATGCTTTGCTATATTTGTTATTTTTTCCATTCTCATAGAGATGATGGTTCTTTTATTGGTGAGCTCCATGGTGTTTTCTTAATACCTGACAAAGGAGAACCTTAGGTTTGCTATTCTCATAGAAGTGATAACCTAGAGTTCTAGTAATCAACCTAACATCCTTTTTTTTTTTTGATAAATGAAGGGTAATTTATTCAAAGATAATAAAGTGATGTTACAAAACAGACTGCCCGAGGAGAGGCACGAGCTAGTTCCTCTCCTCAACAACAACAAAGTATTACGTTAGGCTCGGAAAAAAAATTACAGAGCTGCCCAGAATGAAGTTCCCTTGATACCCCTTGCTTAGCTAACCCATCCGCTATGGCATTAGCTGTTCTACCCATCCACTGAGAATTAACAATCATGTTCCTTGAAAACCACTTAACTTTTCTCATAATGTCCCTGTAGCACCAAATAACTGAATCTAGATTTTTTAACCAACCCACAACAACTTTGGAATCTCCTTCAATAAGCAAATTCTGAATTCCTAACTGATCTGCAATCTGAATACCTTGTACCGCCGCTAGAAGCTCAGCTCTAATAGAGTCTCCTATACCCATGGAGCCGGAGAATAAAGCTAAGATATTGCTGTCTTTATCTCTCAGCACTCCTATTCCTGAAGGGCCTGGATTACCTTGGCCGCTACCATAAAAATTCATCTTTGTCCAGCCTTCAGAAGGAGGCACCCACACTGCTGGTACCCTGCTCTTCCTTGTACTGCTACTAGCCACAACTATCCAATTCCTCCATATGTCATCAAAGGAGTATATTTTAAAGGATTCCAAAGATCTGAGCCAATGGATTGTCCTGGTCAGAATGTAGTCCTTTATGTTCTGAATATTTCTCTCATTCTCTTGGAAAATCCTCACATTTCTTTCTTCCCAAATTGTCCACAGAGCAGCAGCTCTAATGGATCTCCACATTGTTTTACCAATTTTTGTGGGCAACACAAAGAAGGAGGGGTCAAAGAGCTGATCTACAGTTGTAGCCAAATTCCACCTGCACCCAAACAAGGCAAAGATTCAGCTCCAAATAGCAATAGAAAAGGAACAGGTTAAAAGTAAGTGAGAGCAATCCTCACCATTAACCCTGCAAAGTACACACCAGTTAGGAGACAAGCACATGGAAGGCCTTCTCTTATGCAGTAGGTCTGAAGTGTTGATTTTCCTATAGAACACCTCCCAGCAGAAAATTATTATTTCAGGAGGTACAGGTCTAGACCAGATCTCCTTAACTGGAAAATCCAAATGTCCCAAGGAAGAGCAAATGGACTTAAAAAAGGAGGCACACGTGAAGTAACCTTTTGGATTAGGGGACCAAATTCCTACATCAGATCTGAGAGGGCAATTCAGAGAGGAAGGAGAAATAAAAGTTGGAAGAAAGTGTGAGGTTGCTTTATTCTTGTAACAAGAAAGGGAATAAAGAGAAGGGAAACTGTCCTTAAGGGCAGAATTGCCCACCTAGATGTCTTCCCAAAATAAAACAGAAGAACCAAAATTGACATCATACCTGATAAAGTTGAGGAAAAAAAGGGAGGATACTTTGAATTGCCTTCCACGGAGTTGCCAAAGTGGCTCGACGCGATACACCAGCATCCCATCTATTTCCCGAACTACCTTGTATACTCTCTATCACCTCATGCCACTGTCTCTCCTGTTCTAAGGGCCACCTCCACAACCATTTGCCTAAGAGAGCTTTATTCTTCAAAACTAAATTCCCTAACTCCAGCCCACCCTCCTCTTTCCTCCTGCATACTATTGCCCAATTTATTAAATGATCCTTTTTATCCTCCCCTGGCTCCCAAAGAAAATTTCTCATTAATATCTCCAACTGAACACAGAGAAGTAGTATACCGGTAGATTTGCTAAGGAAGCTTTCAATAAGGTTACTCTACCCCCTAATGAGATGTAGTTCCTTTTCCACGAGGCAAACCTTTTTCTCAAAATTTTCTAAAACCAGGGCCCGAAAGTTGCTCTCCTTAGGGTTGGCTCCTAGAGGGAGATCTAAATACTATAAGGGTCAAGAGGAAATGGAACAACCTAGACACTCAGCCACAGACTCAATAGTCCTCTCATCCAAATTCACACCCACCACACAACTCTTATCCAAGTTTATTTTCAGATTTGAAACTCTCTCAAAGTGTTTTATCAGAGACTTAAGATTCCTGACTGTTCTCCTATCACCCCCTTCACAAAAGTTATTAGGTCATCAGCAAACTGTAAGTGGGTCACCTTGATTCCACTTCTTATCTTCCAACCTCTCACTATTCCTTCCAAGTGTGCCTTAGAAATCAAACCGTTGAACACATCTGCAACTAGGGTGAAAAGGAAAGAGGAAAGGGGGTCACCTTGCCTTAATCCTCTAACAGCTGGGAAGAACTCCTTAACTACCCCATTAACCAAGACCGAAAAATGGCAAGAACTTATGCAGCCCTTTATCCAATTACACCATCTTGCTCCAAACCCACAACACCCTATGTTCTCTAATAAAAAACTCCAATCCACCAAATCATAGGCCTTTTCTAAATCCAACTTGCAAACAAAACCTTGATTTCCAGACTTTCTCATATATTCCACACACTCGTTAGCTATTAGGATCTGATCTGTTATTTGTCTCTGTTAGTGGTGTTAGTGAAGGGGTATTTCAGTCTTTGTACTTGTTGAGAATGCTGATGTGTACTATTATATTAGTTCGAGTGCCCCTTACTTAAAGAAGGGCACTCAAGTCTTTTCCAATAAGTTAATAATATAATAACAGGTCTGGCCGAATCAAGGGATTAACTTTTTTCCCTAATTCGAACCAGCCTTTCTCTCTTCTCTCTTTTCTTCTTTCCTC